AAATTACCGTATGTAGCTAAACTTCCCGAGAAGACTAACCAGATGTGTGTTGTATTCCTTATTGATGTCCTCGAACATTATTTGATTACCCGAGCCTGAAAGAGGAGGTTCAAAGCAACTTGTTCAGCAAGGTATGCCGCAAAATGGTGCTATAAGACGACAAAGTATGGATTTTGCGGTGAGCTGTGACTCACCATAAGCCTCACGAGTTGCTAGAGTGATGAGTAGCACTGTAAAAGCGAACAACATTCTGGTTGGAACGCCTATGTTGGGACTTGTTTTCCTCGCTTATTTATATCCGATGATTTCATTCAGGAACTATTGTTGTTTTATCATTGGGTGTACATGGCGCTACCGGAGCTTTTGTTCCAAATTTGATTCTTTAACTGAAGAGCTATGAGCTACATTCTTTCTGCGTTACCTTTTTATTCTAAATCGATAGATTTGACCCTTTATTGTCCATATTGCACTACTGTGCACTTTGTTGCTCATATTGCATTATTGGATCCAAGTCTTTTTTCGCTTCTTTATCGCATTGAATCCACGTGTCTTTATTTGGGTTCCAGCTGTCAAAAAATTGCACTTTCCATTAAATGATATTTCTGAAATTACAGCTAACGTTGTAGTTTTTGCACTTCTGAAAATTCAAATTTTTGAACGTTGGAAGGCTACCTCGTTTGTAGCAGAATAGCGCTTGGGCCACAAAGAAGTGAAATTAATATCCCAAATTTTTACACTCACCTTCTGCAAGCCAGCTCAGACCATGAGCTAAAACGAGCGCCTCAGTCCGCTCTTCTGTATATCTTTTTAGTACTATGCATTAGGATTGTCTTCTATTTTCTCATAAAACTTCTACGGGAGACCAGAATATATTCACAACTATTCCTACTCTTCAACTTCAGGTTGGAACTCCCAGGTTTAAATGGGAGCCTCTTCTAAATATCTGGTTGAAGTATTTGTGGACAGAATAAGAATCATGTTGTCAGGGATTAGTTGCCTTACTCTCTCAATTCGTGAATAATTCCTCATGAGTCGTCTACGCTAGAGTATCCCGTTGGTTAAGGTCAAAGTTCAGGGTACAGGCGAACCAAACTCAGTCTACTATTGCTGCTTTTCCTCGATAAGACCCTTCCTTGTCCACCTTTCTCCGAAGAAATCACTGCTTGGGGAGTTCCATAGCCTATAGACCTCGTTTTTGGAGGTTCAAACTTTATATGCAGTGACTTCTTGAGTCATCATCACAACTACCAGTAGGCTTTGCATTACAACCGAGAAATCTCTGCACACTCGGCCAGAATTCGCTTGAAAAAAGGTTGTACCGCTTCAAAGTACCTCTACTGAAACCTTAATAGTCGTACGTCGTGGTTCTAACCGAAAGACTTTGGATCCTCCCGCCAAAACCTCCTCCTCTCAGCTTATAACATCAGTATTACCCACAACTTTTCTACTCATGAAGGACGATGGGTGAGGTGTTTTGACGTTGATCACATAACGACTCCGAAGGGATGGGTTGGTCTGTAAGGATGTCATCGAGGAATTCCTTTTGCGGACTATGCATGTGTTAGTGTGTCACTTGACGCTACACTTTAGCCCTTCGCACTTGGTCCGCTCTTCCAGATTGGATCTTTCATGGATTTGCGACAAAATACAGAGCGTCGTGGATTTATTTCAAGAATACGGTATGATCAGAGTGCTTGAGCTGATGGAGAACGTTTGTGTAAGCTGTGACCGATCGAGGGAGCTGTGGTGCCCAACTCCAATTGTGTAAATTTAACAGGCCATGCTTGTCAAGGACTGGTTATTTCTATGAAATTTGTAAATTATATTTTTCGACTTAGTTTCTATGAAATGGGTCTAATGACTGCGACCCTATTCACCATTGCCCCACATCGAACCTCTTCAGCCCATACCCAAATCTATGAAAACGCTGAAATACACGTAGGTGGACCGTGATTGGCCTTGTCAGTGTTTTGGATGTCGATCGCTCCAAACTCGAGGCGTTCTCTAGCCACAAGGCTTATTCTTTCAGTGTAAAGTAGGCCGAGCAGGAAAAAGGCTTTAAGCACCGGTCAGTCTTCGTTCCGGTTAAGCCACGCATCCGACTATGGCTCGAAATCGTCAAGGCATTCAAATGGTTGGACTAGCTGTAGCACACTTGGTGGTAATGCGCTATCTCGAGACTTACGTTAAGCAACCGAAAGAAGAGATGACCGGTGTCGACTAGGCATCTGAGTGGCAGATCGTACGGGTGCTTTCCGATGGCAGTTGCTAACATCCAACTTGCTTTATAATACGAGGATTTTAAGAGAACCACATTGTAATCAAGCTTATTTCTTTGTGATGGCCTTTCCAAAGCCCAAAATTGTAGTCGTGATTCGTGGCTGACGGGTGCTATTACAACCACCCTCGAGATCCCAATATTGAATCTCTCCAGAGCAGATCATACTTTCTGGATGGCATCTGTCGCTTGCTTTGCCTGTGCCTATCAATCTGTTCGGTGCGTCGATAAAAAAATAGAAATATTGGGGTTTTCGGTGTTTATTCTCCATTAAAAACTGGCAGATTCGGGTATTTTTTATTTCTTTAACACTGGAATCACACTTGTGATCGAGTGTGCATTAAAAAATTTCGGCGTGGCAGACCAATTAAAATCCATTCCGCTGTTGAATATAATCGGAAGCGATTTTTGTTTCTTTCCCGTGCTGTCGTGTTACCATCTGGCTGGACCTTTGATAGGTTCGATGCAAAGAGTTACTCTGTTAAACACACAGAAAACCGAAATGCGTTTGGGAGATGATGATCTGGGGCCCACATGTGCATAGAACTGAGTCACGACATGTTTAGTATAAATGGCTTTCGATGACTATGCGACAAGAGCCGTTACGGTCACACGATCAGTCGCGACGAATATTAGCTTAGAGAATTTGAGGTCATGCTTCAGGATCGACCTCAACTTTGGCGTGCCGGAAAACACCCTGAAGGGCGACAAAGCAGTGTAATTTTGACGGATTGCATGTTGACTTGAAACCAACTGGCCTTCGTTCTAATCAAGCAATTTTTCGGGATACGTGGAGTCAGTAGAACAGAAATGCTAAAGGAGGCAAAAGTGGAGATGGAAGAGAAGCTGGACAGATGCCCTTCTGGCTATTATAACAATATTGCGGATGTTAGGTTTCACGTTCTCATGTTGACATAGTCAGAACCTTCATAGTTATCCGTCTTTATCGTACAAGGATACTTGAGTATTTAGGTGATTTTTTTTGAATCATTATATTGCCTACATGTCCTCAAGTAACTTGTTTGAATCACAGAACATCCTCATTTCTAACCAGTGATCTGTTGGACTTATCCCAGCAATTCATGAAAGAGACTTTTCAATGTCTCGCTACATTATAATTTCTTGGCTAACTTAAATGCTTCACTAATTGTTTTCATTTTATTTTGTTCGATTTTCTGCTGAACTCACGAAA